TATAACTGCTCTGCTCTGTCAGGCAGCAGGAAACAGGTCGCCTCGGGCCACAGAAGGTCAAGGAATGAAATACCAAGGGGTACCACCGCTCAGTGCCCACCACCCACAGAAATGTCCCGGGAACCTCTTTAAATGTCGAAGCCACCATCTGTCTCAACAGCCCTACTCTAATTCCCTGAGCCCACAGTTGACATCTGATCCAAAATGGCCTGCGCACCTGCTTTGGCTCTGCCAGGGGACTCGCCGTGTTCTGCTCTAGTCTGAGCAGCAGGCCTTTCTTCCGACTGGCACCCCCACTTTTCAGCTTCCTTCAGAACCGACCGCACTGCTCATTCTTCTGGAAGTCCCATGTGTTGGGGACCTGCACTGTTAGGAATTGGAAGGTCATCCTTCCTCCTTCAACTGGCCTGCACAGCTTCACCTGCGTTCCCAGAATCTGGGAGTGTTCCCCTTTGGAACACTGAGATGATGAGACCTGGTGCCCCTCAGGGAGCTGGTGTTTCTGTGGCTATGACTTGGGACCTGCATGCTCTCCCCTCCCCTGCTGCATGAAGGGCAACACACTGAGAAAGGGGACAGAGGGGGCCGCCTCCCACCCGGGTCCTCGGCATACCCAGGGAAGACTCGGCTGCAGCCCCTGCTGGCCTCTGCCTGTTCTCCTTGGACGTCCTACCCAACCCTTCCCACCCAGTCCGGTCCTACTTCATGCCAGACAACATAACAGACGCAAAGACACCTCGTGGACCACACGGTAGGTGTCTGTAGATGACAAATGGAACTGTCCCGAGCCTGGGCCATGCAACATCAGCGGCCACCAGGTATCGTCTCTGGCCTGTGGAATGTTAGCAATGCTCAAAGGAAAACCTTAAGCAGTGTTCAAAGACAGACTAGAGCACAGAGCTGTGGTCACCTGGTGACCAGGTGGTGTGTGGGCCTCCCGAGCATCATATGTGCAAGCAGGGTTTTTGGCACTTTGGCTCAGTCTGCCCTATCAGTGGAGGCAGAGAGCTCTGGTAAAAGTGACCACCCACACTCCTCATCTACACTGAAAGGAACACAGAATCAGGATTTAGCAAACGCCGGGGTCCCTTGGTCTTGCTCCCTGTCAGTAAGAGGAAAAGCAAATTCTCCAGTTCACGAAGTTCCCCTCCTTGGAAAGCTAGTGGGACTCCTGCTGGAGGCTGAGCATCCAGGGTCACTCTGGGAGGTTACCAAATGCTAAAACAGGAATCGGAGCCACGGGACAAACAAGATACCCACTGGGGAGCTATGGCACGAAAGAAGGGCAGCACATGTGTTGTGGCTAACGGCACCTAAGCATGCCCCTTATGGAGCTCAGGAGACATCTCTTCAGTGGCCATTTCCTGGGTTTGGGGTAGAGGCTCGGACCAGCAACTGGGGAGACACTGGGCCAGACTGGACCTTCCCCTCCACAGGGGAGACCTAGTTTCCAGAGAGTCCAGCTTCAAGCATCAGGCGCTAACTTTTCCTGAGATACCACCATCTGCTAGAACGACTCACGCTTATTCCAGCCAGAAGCAGCTGGTAGCCAGGGGACAGATCACTGCCTTCTGGCGGGGACGGCTTCCCTGGGGGCAGGTAGTGTGACCGGCAGGTGCTGGGAGGTGATGGCCTGGGTACTGGATCTTGGGACGCTCACCCCAGGGCAGGAGGTCTGTGGGCACTCCAGCAGCAGGGGGACTCCTCCGCAGACCAGTCCCCAAGGCCCTGCCTGCCCAGAGTAGCACTGCTCTACACCTCGAGAGAACAGGAACAGGGAGGGTCCCGGGGAGCAGCAGCCCAGCCCAGGTGCCCTGACTGGGAGCCGAGCCACCCAGAGAGAGCGCCTGCCTGAGATGGAAGAGGGAATTGCCCAAATCCCATTGATTTCCAGGTTTCTGCGGTGGTCTATTCACACTTCCTGAGACGCTAAGTGAGGAAATGCTGAGGACTTAGGTGAGACTGTAATTACCATCCTCTCCTTGGAGAAAGAACACCTCTGTTTTTGTCTTAAGAAAAAGTCTAGCATTTGAGTGTTTGGAATTGGAGCACAATGCTGAGTGCCGTGGTGGGGCCTAACTGACAGCGGGAGTGTCCTTTCACAGAACAGGATCACACACACTATGCACGTGTTTTTCCCTTCCCATCTTAACATCAATTAAATTCTAGGGAGAGGGTGCATGAAAAAATAAACTACTAAAACCAAGTTGTGTTCTTTAATAAACAGAACCTACTACAAACACTAAAAAATAAAATATTCTCCTTCTATAGAATTCACTGTTTGTTGAAAGAACTTCATTGAGGGTCTTCAAAGTGACTCAGGATGGAAAGCACTTGGCCAGGTTTACAATGAAATCAATTGGGCCTTGAGCAACTTTAACTTTGGAAAGCCCACCTGGATTCCAGGGAATTCCCGGTTCTTGCTTTCCCAGAGCAAGCTGTTTGCACAGGTGTGAGGGCAGCAGGTGTGAGGAAGGTACAGGCCCAGCCCAGCTGCCTCTGTGGACGCCAGCAGCCGTGTGTTGGAAGAGCATGGGTCAAATATGGGATCAAAGACATTGCCTTTGTCTCTCTTAATCAATGTCTGGGTGTAAGCCAAACCAAAGACTATAACAAAATCAAGCCCGTTAAGAAACGGGTCAAAACACTCTCCACATTGCAACACAGCTGAACTTCCTGTTGCCGCGGGCAGAAGAGGCCCGCTCGGGGACCGTGCCATGAGATAACTTACAGGAGACATGGGGACAGTTCCCTGGAACACAGAGCAAAGCTGATGTGTTTGTGTCTGTGGGATTCTCAAAGCAGGCAGCTCCTCGACAGCGGGCCTGAACAGACAGCCCATGCCCCTCACTTGCCCTGGGGAGGAGGCGACTCCCAGGAGCCAGACTTCTAGGACAGCATGGTGGCCCTGCCCGGACCTGGCCACTTGGGGGGCGTGAATGATAGGGAAGGCAGCCAGGTCAGACCAGAGGAGGGAAGCAGACCCCAGCCTTCCCGGAAGAGCTCGTCTCCACCCCAAAGCCTGATCTTCTGGGGGTTCAGGAAAGGGTTCCCAACTCCAGAGCCCCCCGCTGAAGCGGCACAGGGGACACAGCTGGCTGCCCGCACCGGCCCCATGAGCCGCCAGGTTCTCCACTCACTGGTGCTCTGTGCCTGTCCTGAGTCACCTGGCTTCTGTGCCCCAGAGGCCTTGCCTCCTCCACACCCCAGCCAAGAACAAAGCCTCTTCATCCCCCTTGGCTCACAAGCCAAACCCACTTGAACCGAGCTTACGTGCAGTCACCCAGGCACGGCTCTCTGCTGGAGGCCGTCACTGGGCTCCAGGATGAAGGCCCTGTCCAGCTGAGCTAGAGGCCAGACTGCAGGGAGCAGGTCCACAAGTCACTGCTATGTCATAGGAGGGGAGCACACGGGCTGGGGGTCTGGCCGAGGGACCGGCTGGGGACATACTGCTTCCTAAGAGACATCTCAGGAAGCCAGAGAAGACAGGAGGCACAGGAGCTCGGGAGGCAGGTCAGTGGAGGCCAGCGTGGGAAAAGCCACACACAGAAACCAGGAAGAAGGGACCCTTTCTTCACACAGGGTCATGGTGGCAAGCGGCCCACAGACCTGTGCATGGGCTGGAGCCACCTTGGGGAGGGGAAGCTCAGGTGGCCAATGAAAAGCAGCAGCAGGAAGAGGGACGGGGCAGTGGCTCCTTCCTGCATCTGAGCATCCTGAGTGGCACAATCTCGTACTACAACACCCAGGTGATGCCAACCCGAGCCACTGGCAGAATCTGGCCTTTGTCCAGGGCGGTGTTCTCGTACTGCTATGGTTGGGTCCCTGCATCACCCAGAGGCCATTTGGTAGAGGCTCAGTCCTCAGGGTGATGCTATTGGAGGCCATGGGACCTTAAGCCGCTGTGGTCACTGAGGGCACGCCCATGTTGGACCCCTGGCCCTTTCCCTTCTCTGTTTACCAGCTGCCATTGGGTAAGCAGCCTCCTCTGCCACCCACCTACACCATTTTTTCCTACACACAAAGCGACAGGGCCAAGCAACCGTGGCCTGAAACCTCTCACACACTCGGCCAAAATGAGCCGTTCCTCGTCTGAAGTTGATCTTCTCAGGTGCTTTGTCACAGGAACGGAGAGCTAACTGACACAGATGATTCTTAGCGAACTGGGACAAATGGCACAACTGTGGAAGTGCCAGTTAAAACCAGACTCTGGTGGCCACTCCTGACGCAGCACCATCAGCAAGCCGGAGTTGGGCCAGCAAGTCCGATGGGTCCTGAAGCAGTGGACTCAGCGTCAGGGAAGCTCATGCACTTGCAATCCTGCCCTTTCCCCGAGGCTCCGCCCCCTTGCCTGACATTGAGAGTGGGCCACTTTCCCTCCCGCCTTCGAGGCCACTGGGAGAAGGAGGGAAGGGGTGTCACACAGGTGAGCAAGGGCTTCTGGGAATTTGCCCCATCACATGCACGGCCCTCGGTGGAGCAGCCACACAGGGCCTGACTCTTTCACCAGGAGGAGGGTCACCCTAAAGTCGGGGGCACAGGCTCCCGATCCCTCTCATCTTCAGGGGAGTCAGGCGGGAAGGGAAGCCACGGGAACAGGGGGTCCCACAGGGAGCGCCGTCCTCACAGACTGAGGACCCCAGTGCAACCCTCGCGGGCAGGGAGGCAGCAGGCATCGCCAGCAAGAGTGGTCGGCAGGCTCCGTCCAACCTCCCTACATGTGCTGGGCACCTGCAGGAACTCAAAGGCGAGAGCAAGCTTCTGGGTAAGAACCACCTGCTGAACACGACAGGACGGAGGAAACTGGGGACCCAGCCAAGGGCCCAGGAACCGTGATGGCTGCCGGCACCCCGGGCTCATGGAGGCCTTGACCTGGAGTGGCCCTGG